CAAATCGCCACAATTGATCGTATCTCACGCGTGCGCGTCTTAAAGAACATTAAAGGCAAGATTGTCGGATAAAAGTGGCGAATCTTTTTGAGATCATTTCTGTGTATTTTTGACAGATGTTCCATTAAAGTGAATTAAAAAAAAAAATTAAAATTAAAATTAAAAAAAAAAAAAAAACAAGTTTATTTTAGTTCATTAAACATTGCGTGTGTCTATATATTTTATAAAAAGAAAAAAAAAATATTGCATGCTATAAAAATATGTTTTTTCTGTCCCGACTTACGAATAACAAGTGACAACTAAACATTTACAAAGGTGTGTGCGTTTTGATAAATAAGTATATATTTCCCTTAACTTTAAACGCGTTGCGATTATTTTTTCACGTTTGTCGTATACAGGGTTATGCATTTTGCGTTTTGAAAATAACCGTAAATAAAATGTATTTAAATAATTTTTCCCATGAAATTCTTTTATATTAAAATGAGTCTTGACATTTTATCTGAGACACTCAATCATTCAAGAGAGCGCCTTACAAACTTCGATCCGTTTGAAATAATTTTCGTCAACTTTTTGGCACACATTGGGCGGTATCTCAGCCATAACTTGACATATATTGATTTTCATAAACACAGTCTTTCGCGTAGCTCAACAAAAAAAAAGCCAACGGTGGTAAGGCACACGGTCTCGGTGGCCAATTGACATCGTCAAGACAACAGATTACGCGACCGGAAAATTTCTCTCGCCAAAGTCATATTATCGCTCATGTTGTGGGGCATGTGGCACCATCTTTTTAAAACCACATATTATCCAGTGGTGTTCTTCCATTGCAGATCAAAAAAAGTCGGTTATCGTACGACCCTAAAGCTCCGTGTTGACAGTGATAGTTTTGCCATTGTCGATTTTAAAGAAGTAAAACCCAGTCACACCTCCCGACTAAAGAGCGCATCAGATAATCACTTTTCTGGTGTTTTTTTTTTAACCTCTCTTCAATTATTTGAGAATTCTTGGAAACCGATGCGATAATTTAACTTATTTACGTATCTCCCGAGTTTGAAATGTGCCTCGTCTCTCAAAAAAATTTTGTTCGAAAAATCACCGTCCACTTATTGTTGTTCAATCACCCAATCGACGCATGTAGGGCATAGGGAATGGTCAGTTGGCCACAATTGTTATTTGAGCTGGACAAAATACGCCTCAAACGTGCCTTAAGGAACTACCAATGCTTGAGACCGTCGAGAAATAGACACATTCGGCTCTTAAGCCACACTTTCACTTACAGTAGCGATTTTTGAGGTGCAACGAGCAAAACAATGATGCACCGTTCGTATAAAATCTGCAACCGATTCAGTCTCTTCAAACTTCTTTAAAATTTTACCATTTACTTGAGTTGTTCGGCAATCACCATAATCTCTTCTTAAAACACGAAACGTTCCCGTGTTTGAATAACCAATTTTGTAATAGGTTTTAACAATTTCAACCCGTTGTGCAGTTGAGCAATCCATTTTCAAGACATTGGCATGGATTTTGTGGCATGCACCCAGGATATTTATTCAATTTGATGCATCACAGCATGGGATTCCCTTAGGATCAGCGAGTATATATTTGGTGTTTTTTCCAATCCTCGAAATACTTCTGAAACGCGTTTTTTTTTTTGGTATCGCCAATAGCTCCTGTTTCGATTTGCTTTTATCGCTTCGCTTTCCTTTCATCGGTGTCTTCAGTTTTGGAAAGAGGAAAAAGTCAGCGGGGGCCAAGTCCGGTGAATATGGTGGTTGAGGCATGATAACGGTTTTGTTTTTGGCCACGCACAAGCATCGATGTGTGAGCTGGTGTGTTATCATGGTGCAAAATCCATGATTTTATTTTCCACAATTTTGTGGGTTTTTGACGAATCGAGCCGAACGATACGCCAACATCATCAGCAACCGCTCTGATAGAGATTCGACGATTATCCAAAATCCTCACTGCTTCAATGTTTTTATCTGTTGTTGACGTGCTCGCGCGACCAAGACGAGTATTGTTATTGACATCTTTTCGGCCTTCCTTAAACCGTTTATACCACAACTGAACTTGTGATCTGCTCAGTCAACATTTCAAATGTCCTTGCGCATTTGATTTCACTTTTTACAAAAAACTTAATACACTTTCTTTGATTCATCGAAAAGCATTCCAAAGCGTGGCTAATCTTTTATCTGTCAAAAACAAACTTCGAATCCAAAATGGACAGACGTGTGTACCAACATAACAGAAAATAGAGCGAAAATCGATATTTTGGTCGAGATTTGAAAATAACGGATATTTTCTGATGACACCTCGGGCACCGTGTTTTCTTCGAAAACGAGGAATAAGTTGCTGTTACCGTCAATGCCGATCATTAGCGTACCCTGCTTTAAGATTTTTTGTTTTCAAATGTTGATGTCGTTCCTTGTGTAGCACGTAGCGCCGTCTTGTTGGAAATAAACTTTATTTAGATCAATACCATCCAATTTCAGATATAAAAAATAATTAACCATCTGTCGATGGCGCAACCCATTCACCGTTAATGTTGCTCCAGCTTCGTTTTCGAAAAAGTGAGGTCCAATGACTCCGCCGGTCCATAAACACGTTGAGGATGGACAGGCTTTTCAACAATAAAACTTGGGTTTTCTGAGCCCCAGATGCGATAATTATAGTCAAGATGATTGTGCAATAAAATTTAGTATCATTTTCATGCATTTCGAGGACCCAATCAGCAAACACACGGCAAAAATGCCCTGTGTTAACTGAACTTTATAAGCCTTAGGACTCAAGTCTTTATGAAAAGTACGGTGTAATGATGTTTTGTGGAATGTCCAATTTCAAATAACGACGAAGAATAGACAAACCTGGGTTTCCTTGGACACTTTGCGCTACAGCAGCAGTATTTTCAGTTGTTCTTGAGCGGCGTCTACGTGTTTTGTATGTCACACTTACTAACTTGACCCAACATTTCGATTTTCCATGTTTCCCACCAATTTCGGTATTAAACTCCGACAAGGTGTTTCAAAACGACTAAAAAATGTGTCTAAGGGATGGAATTCGCGTCAACCACAATTATAAAATTTATTTATTTTTTTATTTAATATTCTATAGCTTTTGATGTCTATGATGTCTGTCTGGCCAGAGTTCGAGCCCACTCATCTATTGCTTAATTCATCTTCATGATTCGAACTCATTAGAGTAAGAGTCCTAACTTGTCAAATGAAATGTTACTAATCACGAGCCTCATTTTAAAGCATTTTTGCTTAATATCAAAGAATAAGTATTCTAATTTAATAAAAAATGATCATAAATAGCAACCGCATGCAAAAATCGAGTACCCATTACTAAAAAGAAATATGTAATATATATGTTTGTGTTTAATCAAAAACTACCAAAAAAAGGAACAAAAAATTATCATGAGTCAAGTTATGAAACTTAAATTTTTTTCCAGAATCTCGAGCATGTGATTGCTGCTGTCGTTAGTTAAAGAAAAAAATTATTTTTTTTTCCGATGCTAACTTACAAACTTTACGCCGACACCTCTGTGAGCACTTGTCAATTTTTACAGCAACAAAAAAGTAAAGAGAAGTAACGAAAATGTCAAGATTTTTTTTTATCAAAAGTATTTCAATTTAATTTCGATCGATCTTAAGTCGCAGCAAACCCGCCAAACGATCAGGCGATTGACGGGGCCCGCCGATTTGAATGAATGAAGCAAAAGTCAAGTCAGTCAGTCAGCCAACCAACCAGCCAGCCTTTTTGAGCAGCATGCAAGCAGCTGGTGGTTGGTTGCCTTTTGTGGCGGCAAAGCACGTTAAAAAGCAGCGAACGCCGACGATCACCGGCAATCAGATTGATTCATTGTTCACAATTCGATTGTTGCTGTATTTTTTTTTTTTTTTTTTTTTTTTTTTATTTTATTATTATTTTTCTCGAATTCGGATATTCCGTAGAGCTGTCAAGAAGCTGAGCAACCAACAAATTTTTAATTTGAATTTTTCTTGCAAAATATACATATTTCGCGCTTTTAAGAATGAGAATTTTGCTTATTATTTTTTTTCTTTAAATTTTTGTTTTATTATACATTTTGTTTCCTTCTATTGTTTTTTCGTGTTACTCCTTTATTACTTTATTTTCTTTTTTAAAATTTTTTTTTTATTTATTCTTAATATTTTAAAGAACGCGTCCTGCTTGTGAGCACGTTTTTACCGCTTTTTTAATTCTATTTCTGCAATATTAATTTTTTTCTGATTTATCCATTAAAATTTGTATATGTTTGTATGTTGTTTACATACTCGTAAGTAGATTTCAAATAACATTGTGTTACTTACCTCTGCGGCAATATTGTTGTGGCTCGTCTGTGGCCGCTTTGACGTAAATACATACATATGTATGGTGTAAACATGAATGTGCTCCGTTGAGCAGTTCAAAATTTTTTATGATTGATCGCTTATTTATGGCTCGTCAAATGCAATGCAGTTTTCAATTTCATAAATTGTTTTTAAATCCTTTTTTCCTACGTTGTTGTTGCTCTGGAACCCACGAAATTTTTCAGCATTATTAATTTTACTCTCACCTTGTTAAAACATCATCGATTATTACAATGTTGAAATATGTATTTAGTTGCGTTTAAAATTTAACAAATTAATCATCAAACGTGAGCGAGCTGACAGAAGAATTTATGTTTTTGGTTGTATGTATGTATGGTTGAATATGCGTGTTTTTGGATATGTATGTACGTATGAAGAGACTTGAAAATATTTAATTCTCACTTCACTTACTCTCCTGTTCTTACAATGCTCAAATTTGTAAATATTTTTAATATGAATGATATTGCGCTGAAAAGTATGCTACAAAAATGTATGATCCTAAGTTCTGAGCATTTAAGTAAATATAATATTTGTTTCATAGTATTTGAATATTTACATTTAAAAAATAAATATTAATTATGTTATTTACTCACCAAATGAAACTTATTTGACAACTCTCCGCTATTCCAGGGTCGCATGTCCCTCAGTCGTGGTGTATCGATGGAGCAACGTTTACAGGATATTGCCAGTTTCTTTAATCCAATCTCCGGCATGGGTGTCGTAGGTGGTGTCTCCGACATGCCACCCTATCCACATTATCCCACACATCCATATTCATATCAAAGTGCTGCTGGCATACCAGCACCACCACCACAACACGCTCAATATCCACCGCCACCACCACCGCATCCACATCATCCGCACAGCCATCATGCTATGTTGCATGCTAATGCCACTTTGGGTGATATTTGCACACCAACTCAACCGCATTATGGCCATAATTTAGGTTCGGCCGTGACATCGAGCATGCATTTGACCAATGCCAGTCATGACGCTGACGGTGGTGCAAGTGCTTCGGCTGGCGCTGCTGGAGGCAATGTGGGCGCTTATAAAATGGAACATGATATGATGTATTATACTGTGAGTGCGATGGAATATTTAATATATTTTTATTTATTATTAATTAATATATTCTGATTTTAACTTTCAGAATGCTTCGTCGGATATGAATCATACCACTGAAGGATTTATAAATTCGATTTTAAATGATGAAGATTTGCAGTTAATGGACATGAATGACAGTAAGTAGAAACAGTTATATACTATTGTAGATGTATTTAAATACTAGTACTGATTTAAAGGTAGTATGTTAAAACTGAGGATGATATGATGGAAATAAAATTCCCTAGTTCAAACGTTATAATTATTGTGCTGAGAGTTCCTCGTTCGTAATGTAATATTACAATAAAGAGGTCCATATCATTTTGGTAATTTAATGTAATGATTTTCACCAAATATGATTTCAATTGTAATAGTATCACGTATTATCTAAAAACTAAATGCACTGACGCCTATTTGACCATATTTATAACAACTCTCATGCCGTGAAAGGTGGTAATGCATGGTAAAAGGAAAAATCAAATCGTTAACGTTCATTTTAAAATGACTGCTCTCTATGACTTAACAACACATTTCAATTCTGTTATCGATTTATAACATTAACAACAGCTTTTCATTTCGGGTAAAAACGAAGTAAAATTTATTTTCATAACTGCTTTAAGGATAACATTGCCTCAAGTTTTAACAGAAACGATCAATAAGAAATTTGTCGTTACGATGCAAAATTGCATTAAATTGATCAAATATGTTGACTACATAATTAACTTACTGTTGACTTGACAGATAAGCAAATTTACTTTATTGCGGTCTAAATAATTCAAAGTTTATATCCCTAAATCGATGATCTCACAAATCGTCATAATACTGTTTTAAATTGTACTGTTTAAAGTGAACAAATAATCCTCTCTTAGGACGAAAGCGGAACATTATATACTATAATATTGAACAAAAAACCTCTACTGAGTGGACACGAATCTCCTCTTAACGGACAAACGACTGCAAGAAAACCTCTTTCGGGTGAACGCTTACTCCTGATAGACGAAAAAAAGTCAAATAAACCAAATGTTCGTCGTTAGATAGATACTGAAATTTAAAAAAACTTAGAAAAAATATGTAGGGACTCTTCGAATAAAATAAAATGTTGTTTTGAAAAATCTCAAACACATGAAAAGCTTAGTTAGCTCAGGGAATTATGTTAAGCCATAGCGTTAATACCTACGATGTCGCGTTCAAAACTACGCTCAAAGGAGAAATTCAATCGATTTAGTTAGTACTTACAGTTTTGAGTGGGTTTTTTCACTATAAAAATTTTCACTATATAATTGTTAAGAGAAACTGAATCTCCAATCACTATTGTAAAAGCCATTGCGCCTAAAAGTATGCTCAGACTTGTCGGCCGAAATCCTAATATAATAATTCAACATTGGGGGTATACGCTTAGTTTAGAAAATGCGTGCTATGCTAAAATTTCCTAGGAAATTTCGCTACATAACGAGACCTGTCGCATGATTGTAGCAAATTCAGGTCGAACAACAACAACTAGTTGACACTATATTGCTTTTTCGTATTACAATCTGTGGGAAATAGATCTACATAAGTTTGTGATAGGATATTTATCCCAATATGTGCTGTGCGTCATTCGGTATAATTTTTTTATATTGTGGCGCCCTCATACGAGCTAACCGAGTGGTTAGCATTGCATATCCTGGTGCCACCAACATCCAAAAGTTATGGAAAATTAATTTAAATAAAAATTTAAATCAAATTTTCTGTTTTTGGTCGCCCCTCGGCAGAGAATGTCCACCCCTCCGAGTCTATTTCTATATTGAAGTTCAATACTTTTTGAATGCAAATCAAATGGACATGAAATAAAAGCTCCTCTTAAAAAACCATCAGCTTTTCGAAGTAGGCTTGGAATAAATTGTAGGTCACTCCATTGGTTGGAAAAACATCAAGACGCAAAACCACACTCGGCCGAAAAATGGCTTCGGCGGTTACTAAGCGCCAATTATATGTATATATAAAATGAGGTGGGAAAAATTTAACATTTTTCTGTGCCAAATGAAATTGTTAATTTTGACGTAAACAAAATAAAAGCTATTGAGGAAGTCGCATTTAATGTTTAATTTAATTCCGACGTCTGTACTCACCACGAAAAATGTCAGAATTCCAATCTTGGCTGTCAAAATTTACAAAGCCATAAGCGAAAAACACTGTGCTAATTAAAGCGCTCTTTTTATAATTTGCTGAAATGATAACAACGAGCGAACTTACTACAGAAGTCGTAGCATAAAAATAGCAAAATAAAGAAAAACAACGTCAAAATAAAAACAATTACTTTGCTTGAAGAAATTTATTTGTTTGAATACATAAATTACTGGCCCTTAAGCCAGAAAGGCAAAAAGAAAAGGAGGAAGCTTGTTTAGAAGTATCTGATGGGACGACACGCGTAGAGACTAGGGGCTATCTATTGAAAAGGTGGCAGAAGCTGCAAGTATAATGAGGAGGAGGAGAAAATGACCACCCAATTTTTATGCGACTGTCCCGCTTTGAGCAGGATCTTACTGCTGGATGGTCTAACGAGAGAATCAAAATTGGCTGCATAAGGAAGCCTGATGCTCAAGTTTTTGTGACATCACAATGGGTCTTAGTCGGACTAGAGTGTAATCGATACCACAGATCTGTAGCTACCATAATCTAACCTAACCGAAATTCAAAATAAACTAACTATCGTGTTGTTTGCATTTTGCTCTTTGTTCTGACTGAGATGATACTGGTAATCCAGCAGTCAGTAGATATAAGAAGGAAACAGTTGAGCTACCAATTTCGCCATATCAGAGCTTACATTGTAGAGTAACTTTTCGCGGTGGAGTGTTAGCCCATTGGTAGTAATGTCTAAATTTAACAGTAAGTACTTAGGTAGTGGTTTAAAAAATATTATATTTACAGTGGTGGCACACTAATTAGCACAAGCTCCCATTTGGACTAAATTTAACAGAAAATGAAAGAAAAAAATTTACGAAATAAAATATATGTATAAAGGGACATTTATTAGAGTTGTGAGTTTGAAGGAAAACAAATCAAAAATTACAAAAAAAAAAAAATAATAATAACAGTAAAGGCTCTGCGCAAGCCAATTCAGTTATCACAGACTTCGTCTTATGACAGCGCGCATTGTCCTGAGCAACTGGTGTATAGAGATAACGGTAGGTCTTTTAAGAAAGATAGAAGATGATTTTCAAGCAAGTTCTGGTATGCTACAGAATCTGCACTCTAGGACCAACACCATTCTTCGTATAGCAATTACAAATCATACCACTGCCCACACGGAGCATAACCGCCTTTCTGGTATACTTCGGGCCCAATTCCTTTTTTTTTTTTTGGTTTAAGTTTAATTTGAATTATTATTCGTCGCTCCAAACTTCGGATTTCTGAAAAATTCCAATCACGCCTTTCGATTACTGTTCGAAATTTTCGGCTTTTTTTTAAATCTTGGCATTCCCGTAGGTTCTTTTCCAAAAACCGTTATATATTGGAATATGGAAGGGTGTGCTAATTATTTCGCCATCCCTGTATATTCAAACTTTTCTTATAAATACTGCTGTAGGAAAATATATTCAGGGTTCATGTAACTACAATAATAGCAATAGATTTCTGTTCTAGTACGCTAATTAACTCGCAATCACATTTTTTGAATTAAATTCCGCTCATACATACATATGTTCATATATATTTTTGTAGTTGGGAAAGTAATTTTTCACTGTAGAGATAAGAAGCGATATATACTGTATGTAGATACACATATACTTGTGGGCACATAAATTACTACCAACAAGCTTATTTCAGTTCATATATGTATGTATGTACATATATATACATATGTATTATGTGTAAGACACGTCTGAATATCACGTGACCGAAGCAAATTTCTTTCTTTAAATCAAAAATTTATTCTGCAAAGTCGTAAATTATTATTCCTGATAGCTTTTGAGTGCCCATATGGCACAAAATATATCTCGATTTGTCAATATTTTTATCAGATCAAATGTAGCAAGTGCTAAATTTAAAAAGACTTCGAGATTGTCAAACAAAAACAATTCTTGTATTTAATCAGATTTTGTTGTTCTTATATTCGATTTTTCGCTTTGTTGACTTTATTAGTAATATATTGAACTTAGGAATTTGATAAGCGAATTTACATATTTACATATATGTATATACACATATACACATGTATGTACTCTAACTGAAGAGTTTAATGTGAAAAACCCCCAGTAATTGTTTATTTCGAAGAACTATTTTTAGCTACTACTTCACCCAATTATTGTTTACAAATTTTTATATGCATTGATGCACTCGCAGTTAACAAATAGTTGAGTATATCCTTATATCTAGTCCAATAATCTTTATTTCTAATTTTTATTTTTATGTTCTCTTTAAAATAATGCTAATTTTTATATATTTGGTTTAATGCAAAGTAACGAAAGCTTACAAAAAAAAAAAAAAAAAAAATGTTTTCCCTTCAAATACGTTGGTTGGTTGGCTGGTTGCTTGGTTGTTTAGTTGAAGTGGTTGCCGTGCATCAGCTCATTTGGGTCACCAAACGGCTCCACTGTGATACCTGAGGATCCGAATGATGCCAAGTTAGCCACTCCTACGCCTTAATTATGTTGCTCCAAAAACTATTTATTAAGGATTGGATTAAATTATTACATAATATAATATTATGAAAGGCAATTTACTGCACGCCCCAATGTGTTAAAGCTCCAAATACAACGGTAATGCAAGCGTGACCGAGGTGCGTTAACTCAAAGTGCACAAAGTGAAAATTAAAGAACAAAAGAATATAGAAAAGTCACTCAGTACTCGAGTGTAAAAATGCAAATCAGTTAATGAGGCGCTGAGTTTAAAAAAAAAAATACATACATACATACGTGTATATATTTCCTGTATATATATATATATAGGAAATATATATAGGAGTGATATGTCAGAACGATAGATGCAGAGATTGCCTCAACTCACAGTTGTAAGAAAATAAAATTGAATTTAAATGAAACAAAACAAAATTAAAATAAACAAACTACACATAAATTTAAATAATTAAAATAACTAAAATAAAAAATTTTAATGATTATATATAAATTTAAATTAATTAAATACTAATTTAAACTAAATTACA